CGACTCTACAGCATGATTTCATCATCCTGCTAGGTTCATCAAAAATTATTCTTTGGTGACCAGCTGTCCTTCAAGGACCATATTTTAAAGACAGCTCAATCATGCAGGTTTGCATTGCACAACACCAGGAGGATCAGGCCCTTCCAAACAGAGCATGCTGCACAAATTCTTGCCCAGGCCCCTGTCATTTCTAGGCTGGACTATTGCAGTGCTCTTCTAGCTGGACTTCCATCATGCGCAATCAAACCTTGACAAATGTTTCAGAATGCAGCGGCACGACTACTCTTCCATGAGCCCAAAAGAGCCCATGTCACACCTCTCTTTATCTCCCTGCACTGGCTACCGGTTGCAGCTCGCATCAAGTTCAAGGCATTGAGGTTTGCGTATAGAACAGCCACAAGCTCAGCACCCTCCTACTTCCTCCTCACTCTTATGCATCTACATCCCCTCCAGAAGCCTGAGATCTGTAAGTAAGCGATGCCTTGTGGTAACATCACAGAGAACATCATTTCATCCTGGCTGGTGAAATGATCTTCCCACAATCGCCGTAATTAACAGAACAACCGGCACGTTATCTGACAGCAACACTATTTTAATCCCATACCCGACCCATTTGACATAAAACTGGGACCCAAACCACAACTGCATTGAATCTCCTACATGAGGTAGACAAAACTCATTTATTAAAACTTTTATTCAAATTGTGAATAGATTAAATACAGATTGGCTACATTGCTCAGCGTGTACTGGACCGAGTTGAAATAGTCTTGGTTATTGGACCCGCAACCCGCCCGTGCTTGTCACCGTCTGGCCCGCACCCGCATCACACCCTACACATAATTATTTTTCCACCCATTACATCAAATATTAGCGATTCACTTGCATGTACCCGCCCGCATGCAGGACTCTGGCTTCCCCCTTGTGGACAACATAATAGACAACTCTGGCCCCAGAGAGTGATTGTAAATTAAGTTTACATGAAATATGTTTGAAATTTCAGGCTGCATTATAATGTATTAACGAGGCAAACCACCAGCAAATGCCATCAACACGCTTTACTCAGGTAAATACATACGTCAATCACTGCAACACATCACATGACTTAAATACTGGCTCCCAAAGTTGGGAACCAATGAGATGCCAGACATCAACCAAGTAATTACAAATACACATTGTCCCAATACACCACATGCATCTTCTGAGATTTCATTGTAATCCTTCTCATAAAGTCACTGAATTAACCATTAACTGTTCACCTGATTGCGTTGCCGTCTGTGTGTGATGTTAGAGCGTTTTTGAGAGAGAACAAGAATGCATTGGAAACACACTACCGCCTACCTGACTCTGCCTGAGAAGTAAGGAAAAATACACTTACCTAAAATGATTTTTTTATATATCTCTGAAATATATGATAATATTCTTGAAAACAATCTTTTAATAAATTTTTGAATAAAATATTAGTTAATTATCAAAGAAAAAAATGTATAGCCATAATATGGACTTTTGTAAATGCTGTGATACTATGATGCTCAGATACTGTGATTTCCTTCTCACATTGCTGATTTCACCATTAACTCTTCACCTGAACAGTTTATGTTTTTGTGTTATATGGTATCATTGTAATCCTTGACCATCAAAACATAGGGGTAGACATCACCTTTTCTGTGTTATCATGTTTGGTTTAGGAGCTATGACACAAAATACATAATTTGGTTATGGCGGAAACTAAAATGGTCGCCATGGCAACCACAAGATGTTTTTGCTATGGCTCCATTTCTGAAAATGTCTAGGGCCGCAAAATATACAAGTGTACCAAGTTTCATGCTTTTATGAAAAAGTGAACATTATTATTTTCACATATCACTTGGACTAAAAGAAAAAAAATTACATTGTAACAAACAGAAATATAGTTAAAAAAAACTGTTGTGTAATCAGTAATTAATTATTGTATAAGACTGAAAGATATTCACAATCCTACAGTTGATGCAGGTGATTGATAATGGTTATTTGTGGGTTAGTGTATAAACGAATACATTTTTACAACAAAGACGTATCTTGTGGAATACTACAGATGATGTACATAAGAAATGTTGACTTTTCCTGTGCAACTTACCTCTAAATGTCTTGAGGCTTCCATGCTAGAATCAGAAACCCTTCTAAAAGAAACAAGTAAAAATGGCATCAAAAAAGTGCATCATTGTACATGTAATATAGGGGAGACCAGGGATGGTTGTAACATGGGATCAGGTAGAGTGAAGAAACTTCTGGCATACCACCTTGCTGAGGCATTCTGAAGTAAAACTGATACAATACATATAGTTAAAAATTTTATTTGTGATTGAGTTAAGACATTAAAAGAATAATAGTAATCATGTTGAAATGTATTATTTTTTTTCATCTAAATCTTTGCTGATGTTTTATGTGCAGTAGTTAGTCAGCCTGAACGAGGACCCCACAGGGTGACCAGAAAATAGGGAAGTTTTAAATTTTCATGATTTATTTTTATTATCCCTCATATTTGTTTTAATTTCCATGATAATATAATTATTTTATATGGAAATAAGCTCTCCTTTCCTCTCTCTTACACACATATACATGTAGTGAGAGAGAGAACGAGAATGTGAGAGAGACAATTAGTGAAAATTGATACATTAGGTGCTAGTGTCAGGGTCTGGCAAGTAACAAACTAAATCTAATTTATTATTTAACAAATATCTTGACCTCAGTCATTGTTCTTTGTGTGCATTAATAGTGTATTTCAGAGCAGTATTACAGTAAATATAATTGTTTTGTTGAAATTTGATTGCTTCAGACTGCCTAATCCTAACTCCACCCCTACACCTACACTGTAAAAAAAAGTTCAGACCGCTCTAACTCAAAATTTTTTATGCATTTTACAATTGTAGTTTGGTTCTCCTGGGTTCTTTTGGTCCTTACCAAAAAAGAAAAGGTTACATTTAGTCCTGGATTGTGTTCGCAGTGTCATTTTTAACATTGAAATTAAAGATACAAAACAAAAGACATAAAGATACGGTCACAACTTGATTGGACAGCTTTTATGATGTATAATTTGTGAACTTACATGTGGAGATCTACTGCAAGGAGACAATGGTTCCGACACCTGTACAGAACTGTAATGGGCAACATACAGTTTTTACATATATACTTTTTAGGGTCACTTACTGTCTTTGGTCCGTGTTGCATTCATATATCATTTGAACCGCACACATTAGCTCAATCAACTATTAACTGTAGAGCCAATGGAAAAACTCCATTAAAATTAGAAATACATTAAACAAAATCACTTTATTAATACATCAATTCCAACAATTTACCAAGATATTTGGTAAAAATGCCTTATTTTATACAAGGAAAAACACTGAAAACATCCAAGAAATGTTCTGCTGCTGCACAACATACTGTAATGTCTTAATGTGAAGAAAACTTGAAAAGGCGTCACTGCAAAGGTTGAATCCATGCAAATAATAACATTAATTATGAAGTTCCCATGCATCACGTTACTTCAAGGTACTCTAAGTTTGAGTACTGAGATATGCTGGCGACAATATAAAGGGTCAATGATTTTGCTTTATTATTTATGTAACCCACTAGAATATAATTCTAGAATGTAGTGGGTTATGTTTCATTTACTGTTTGTGTAATTTAGTATCTCATTTAGAACTGAAATGTTAATGGAGTCTAACACTTCCTATTCTAAGTCACAAAATATGTGCGCTTGTGTCTTTAAGAATGCCGTTATTGGTAGTAAGGTTGATTGGGGTGCACAGGTGAAAAAATTTGCTTTTGCCCTACGAGTTAGGTTGATCTTTATTTTCATTGGTTCGTATGTGTTAAGTCCCTCCCTCCCGGGAAAATGGAAAATGTCAGTGGTGAATACGGGAGGAGGGGGAGAGACAAGAGACATGCAGCTGAGGAGAAAGCTGATCGGAGCGATTTAGTTGACAGATTGCAGAAAACACAGTAAATTAATCGATAGATCATCGTATTAATACTTTTAAGTGTATATAGTGCGTGTGTATACACGAGTGGTTGAGTTAATTCTGTTGTTTATATTTGAATTCTGAGTTTTTTCCGTTATTGCGGTTTCGTCATTCGCTCGTAAATAGCGCTGAAACAGACTGTTGCTGCGTCCCAATTCGCCTACTTATACTATGCCCTAAAAGTATGTACTCTTTTTGTGACGAAAAAATACATACTTTTGAGTATGTAGAAGAATAGTAGGCAAACTTTGGGACATACTACTTCGTCATAGCTGCTTCTTTAACGGACGCTCTGTTGCTTAGTTATGTGCATTCTGTCACTGTTTAAACTGCCCTGTCAATC